TCTCTTGTTTCGCGTTGTTTGTAGGTGTGTAGCATTATATAATTGTGACCTTGCTTTCTGCCTTTTGATTTGAATCTTGCTGTCATGATCCTGGACGAAACTGGTTATCACTGCATTAGGACTTTGGTTGCCACTGGTGACATCATGATAGCCACTCCCTCAGTGTGTTCGTGGTTGTCGTCTGGGTGACCTGAGTAGATTATTGACTCTCCAGTTGGCAATTTTGATAATCCGCATCCATTCCATCTGTGTCATAACTTCTCATTTCTTTGGATACCTGGGCAGCCTTCTCGTACATTGTACGAACATTCCACGTCTCCATTCTTATTCTTGCTTTCATCGAGAGAAGACACATCGGTTGGCTGACTGGATTCCTGAAGGAGGGCTTTCACCTCATCCCTGTGTCATAGCCTGAAACCATTGAGTAATATGTATCAACGATTATACCAAAGGTCGGACCCAGGACATTCAGGCTATGTCATCAGATAGTGGACTATTCTTAACACTGATTTGAAATTAAATGATATGTGAATTCTAACCCCTCGTGGTTTGTTCTATATTGCCACTGGAGTGAATGATCACAGTGTCACAAACTGGGATGAAACAACTATCCAAATACTCCCTGGTTCGTGTTTTAACTAGCAGACTAATTGAACACGTGATGTTTAAACACCTTTTGAATTATCTCTAGATGTAAAACTAATCTAAAATATTACACTAATGATATTATAGATTTTGGAGTATTTCAAGAACTTAGGTCAAAGAAGGCTCTTCTAATGTTCCAACAAGTTTCTTATACAAAATAAAAATCCAGAAACTGTTGCATGATAAAAATGAGTATAAGTGTATGTCGCATACAGTTCAAGACTCTTCAGCACAGAACTCACCTACGACTCCTCTGCCGGCTATTGGACTCCAGATTTTCAGTACACTAGGCCAAGCTGTTAAGAAGCACTTCAATGGATTATAAACTACGGTTTCTAAGAATAATCCGTGAGCCAATTTGAAACCAATGAAATCCCTACAAACTAACACTTGAAAATTCACCTGATTCTTACTAGTGACTGAGTGCAAAGTGAAATTGCTTGGAATTCAGACGGGAAGTTGTGACTAATGGGGTCATTTGGGTCGTCGGGTGTGAGGACAAACGCTCACCAATGACACTGGCTGGTGGTAGAGCTAAAGTCGTTAATTGACAAAAGTTGAAATGCACGGATCACTGAATTTTTAACCGGGGGGATGAATGGTTAATGCGCCTGTCCTTATAACACATAGGTCCTCGGTTCGTGCCCAGGTGTCGTCGTCGGTTGGTACTAACAGAAAGTCTCCAACCTAGCGTGAAATAGCTCTTCAGTACTCCAAACTGATTCCAAGTCGTTGTCTAACTGATATCAATCCATGCTCAGTGCCTAATCAAATCAAATAGGTAAAAACTAAATCTTCAAAATTCAGGACTGGTAAGTTGTTTGAATTGGGGAATAACACCTAAGATGTTTACTTGGCACTAGAGGTTTTATAACATACTTTAACAATGACGCCTACTGTGGTATTTATGCGTTTACATAACGCCATGTGCAATATATTACCAAGATATTTGATATAAAATTATGGGTTGGTAAAGTGTTTAAGAGGTTTTTTTGGACAACTTCGGAGTTCTTGCCAGTCTGTGACAGTAGTTACATGTCGGCTTGAGGCTTCAGTATTAAATATGAACAACTCCCATTGGATAGAGTTCTTGAAGCTGCAGTGGATAGTCGTGACCAGTTGAGTTCACCATGTCAATCTGAAGTGAATACTCATCTAAGGCCTTGGTATATGGTAGCTCTATATCACGAGTTGACAAAGTTGGTATTGGACAACTGTTTTGTTCTAGTCTCTTGAAACTCTTCATCAGTACGCATCCAACAGGATTAGAACCCAGGCTCTTCGGGCTACGAGGCGAGCTGATAGACAATAAAGCCGCTGAGACCCGATCCAAATTCCGCCAATTAATGCAACTGCCAGCTGATGTCACGGGAGAGTAACTGTCCTCTTGCCTGACTTGTTGCAGGCCGCTGGTTACTTCTTCTCATCAGAATTTCAGGCACCTCCTGAATAGGACCAGTCTCTAGTGAATATCAGATTAATTATTGTCTTAGTTTGTAGCGCATGGAGGTTGAGCTCAACACATAACATGAATTGTCAGAAGTTAGAATTCATGGATTGGTCACTGGATTAAGTCACAGTGGCTCAATTGTCTCCGAGCTTGCCTCGTAGCCGGAAGGTCTTGGGTTTCACCCTCGTTGTGTGGGAGTGTTCTGATAGAGAGTCCTCAACTAGGACGAAGCAGCTGCCAAGTACTCCCCAGTGGCTCCCAATGGTTCTTCAACAAATGTCAGATCGTGGTCGATCCTGTAGCCAATCAAATCCTTGCAAATCGACATTTGATAAAGTCAGAATTCGTGGGTCATTAAATTTCGACTCAAGCGGCTGAATTTTCAAGGAACTTAGTCTTGCAACCCCGGGTTCTATTTCTGGTGGGAACATGGGTATGCATAACTCATCAGTCTCAAAATCGGGAAGAAACAACCGACCACTGGCCTCCCGTTTTCAATGATCTGTCTAACTCACGTCGATTACTGACGATAATTTGACAACTGAAGTATAAAATTGCTTTTTCATGATATTGTATTCAGCCTATCGCAATAAGAAGGTTTCGTTTTCACTTGTGTCTGACAAGGTGCATTTTCAAAATGGGAATATTTAGGCTCTGTCATGTCATCATTCATTCAAACTATGGATAAAAGTTGTTTAGAGCGCTTCCAGTTTGTCACCAGGCTAGGTATAAGCTTCAGTATGACCTTCTCATTAAGTCATCTTCTCTATTTACCTTGAATGTCTGTAATTTCGGTCAACAGTTTCATTCTAATAATAAACTAAACATAATCTAGAAAATTTTTTTTTCGGTGAACATGAAATTTAATTAAAAATTAGATTTTTCAAAAAAAGAACATCTCCACAGTTTTCTTTTTTCCTTGAATCACAAAACGACAATTTTACTGTCTCATTGCGTGCTTAGTTGGTTAGAAAATGAACTAAATTTTGAATCTAATGGCTTATATTCTTTCTTCTTTTGAATGTATGTTGTTGTTAATCTTTTCAACAGTTATTCATGCTCCTTCAGATTTTCTACTTCATTTTCCAAGAAAGGCAAAGACTTTTTGATGAGGATGTTGATGTTTTAAAACTAAATAAATTAAATTTGATGTTTAGTCATGTGAATAAAATGTTTCGGTTATTTGAGAATGGTCTCTATCTGTTACAGGTAATCCAAGATTTATCGGTATTTCCTGACTATTTATCACAGTAGAGTGAAATGCACAGTGTCTGTTAAAATGTCGACTGCCATCATAGACGTGTCGATGACGATTGACGATTAACATGATGTTAACTGATTGAGGATGGTTGACGGAAGAACTCAGGATGATCACTTCGTCCTTTTGAAGACTCTGAAGCTGGATGTATCGTCATCCCAAGTGAGAGATGATATACTCAGTGAAACTGGAGCTCAGCATCCATCGTTTCAAACGTTAACTTGTTACAACGTTATTATTCTCTTCATTCCCAAGTGGAGCCTCCCTTCCTCTGAATTCCTCTTTTGCTGAACCCACGACTGAATATTAGCTTCTGTCTCCTCTTCACATGACCCTCTCGATGTCACACCCGAAGCAACGCTTGGGTTCTACTCAAGTGATTGCCTGGTGCACGATGTCACCAATCCGTTTACATATTTCTTGAACAGTAGGTTCTTGTTAAGTTCGTTCCCAGAGTTTCTTGTTGTTAATTGTTTCTATCTGGCCGTCAGTATAGAGCCAAGGAAGGCTGATTCTGATAAAAGTTTGCATTAACCTGTTGAGAATGCCTTTCATGACTCTAGAGGAATTGACATAATTGACATTGGTGTTTGATAGAGATTGCTGGTTATTGTGGTTGGTTGACCATCCTCCTTACCTTCATGTTCCCTATGTTTAATTGAATCCCACCTTAGCTGCCTGCCTCCCCTGTCAACTTGTTGGTTTTTGCCTGTAATTCTTCAAATTTGCATGACACTGAACGTAAATCTTCCACGAAGTCAAGTTCCTCTAGAGTCTTCTTATCAATCCAGCGTATTCATGTCTTCTTACTCCACATAGTGCACCACACAATCCAATCCACTATCTTCACCGTTATCACTTCCAAGGCTTTGATGTGGATCACCTGACATGTGGAAGTGTTATATAGCTGTTGAATGAAGTTAATAAAGATTTCAGGTACTCCATATTGTTGAAGTAGTTTCCAAATTACTTCGAGGTCAACGTTAACGAAACCATTTTCGAAATCGATGAGGCTGAAGTGAAGATTTAACCATCATTCTATTCTCTGTTCTATGATGTTGCGTAGAGGTGCAATTTGATTCGAACATGATTATTCAAAGTGCGTTTTAACAAAGAATAAATGTGCATTCTAGACTCCGTCGCTATCCATGATCAACCAGCTTAAATTTTATATAATGCATGCTGACTAGCAGCGAGATTCAGGTTACAAATTTCACCCCACTTTGAATTCGTCAACTGAGTGCACCCGCAACTCCTAGTGGCTGATGGATAGTGTTCCTGTTGAGACTCAAACAAAACAAATTAACTCATTTTTAATTAGCTGGAGTATTTCATCATGAGCTGGCATCGATTAGAGACCCATCAGAAAACCTTGGGAGAGTACTGGACAGCTGTTTCGTCAGCCTTGTTCGGGACTTTGCCTTCGCAGTACGTACCCACTGCCAAGGTTTAAACTCAGGACCTTCTGGTTACATGGGTATTTCGTTGACTATGAAGCCACTGTAACCCTATCCAATGTCCAATGCATGAATTCTAACTTCTACCAATTCACGACTTCACAACGTATGTCTTTTAAATCAAAATGTTTCTTGTCTTCCTTCAAGTTTTATTTATTATTATTGTTATTCTGTTTTCCCATTCGTTTAGGTAAGAATATACTTTATTGTCAAGCAACAGTGAATTCAATTCATCAGTGTTGGCCGCCTACATTAGCTGGGCATATTGCAAAACTACCTTGTCCAGCCAATATCACTGGTTTACGTTATGATAAAAATGGTAAGTTGGCGGTGAATTAATTCTACGTGGTTTTGTTTTCTCAAAAATGCATGTTCACAGATATGTTTAAACTTGGGGTTTGATGTTAAGCTATCTGCATGGCAAAATAATATTGTGACTGCATGTAAAAAGATTTTGATAAACACATGTGGTCTTGTTTATGAATAGATTGATCAAGAAATGTCTACATATAAAAATAAGTTGGATTTTTCGCCTTAGATTTCAAGAAATCTGTGAGGGAAACTTTGACGTTTCAAGGGCACTCAATTAGTAATAATGTCCTTATTGCTTTAGCCGTTGTTCTCTCAGTTAAGTCACAGTTTAAAGGCTAAGCTTCCATTGTCTTTTAGGCAACATTTTCAGTTAGATACTTCAGCTTGAAGTGAGCTTCCAGTATTCTCTACGAGTTAATTAGTCATCACTCTTGGTAACTTCAATCAGGATTAGTTATTTCTTTCTGGTTGCTTTCTCTCCCTGTAGTCCAATTACATTAATACAGAGCATATTACAGAATGTTCCTCATAACCCAAAGGTCACTGGTTCGATAGAAGGTGAGGTCATGGGTGCGTGCAGTCGAAGAATCTTACCCTGGGACGAAGCATCTGTCTAGTAGGATGTCTGGTGACTTACGATGGCTGCCTAATTGATATCAATCCGTGGTTATACATGCATAGAAATAAGTTAACTCCATTTCAGAAAGTTGACCATCAGTACAGACATCACTTCAAGGACTTCTCTAGATGGCTGAGTTCCTATGAATTAGAATAAATTTGGTACATTCTGTTGTATAGAGAATCACATAGCTCCCAGTGATATAAGAAAGTCACTATCGCTAAGCAGCGAGCTTTTGAAATCAAAAACGTCCACTGTATCAATTCGTATTGCTATTATGCATCTAGTTCCAGTTATACAGCCAACTGATGAGCAAAACATAGACGCGCATCGATTTTAAAGTAAAGTACTCTGTCTATTAAACTACAGCCAGTTAAAATAGAATTATGCTAGTCATTATGTAATCACTAAAAATGAACTCAGCATATTTACAAAGTTTTTTCTGGATATTCCATTGAGTTAGCCACAGTTACTACTGAAGAATTTATTCAGAGAAAAAAATCTAGTTTTGATTTTTCTAAACACTCTTGGGATTGTTTAAAATCCTCCCTCTTTTTTTAATGATTCAATCAGACTCAGGGATGAAATTATTCCAGGGAGCTTGAAATATCTATAGTTTGACTATTAATATAACTTTACACAACTGTGGATTGAATGATAAATCACTATTTACATCTATGTACGATATTCTCAGGGGAAAAGTGATTAATATCTGAATTTGTGAAAGTAATTTTATTCTCGTTTTGTTTCGTATTAATCAAGTCCAGTAATTTTACAAATTGTATAGTTCAAAAAGATGATTATTTGATCGGATACTAGGTGGTAGTATCTAATGTCATGTGTCGAGTCCTTCGTTTAGTACAGATTGAATTCTGTCATTCAAGTTTGCATTGTGGCCACCATGCTACTAGGTGGCTTGCCATCATGGTGTACTGTGAATTGCTGTTAGGGTGATGAAAGCAGTCGGTAGTGGAAGTCCTTGACCTAGATTGCGTGTTTTTTGGAACTCACCAGTCAACAAGGTGTATCGACCGCCTTGAAGGAACTCAGGTCCCCTCGGAAACTTTAACCTGTGTTAAACATTGCTGCTGTTAGAGCTATTGCCACTGCGCTAATAGCACTAGCATTTCAACTCCCGTAAGATTGTATTAAATAATTTTGATTGAACACTAGATATCAAGTAACTGATGTCGTGCATCTCATACTACGTTTGCAGCAGACTGAATTCTACATTCAAGTTTGCAGTGTAGTCACCATGCTTGATAGCTCGCCATCTTCAATGTTGAAGGACCTCATATCCCTCCTGAGATTCGAAATCGAGTTACTCGGATTGTAGATACACCTTGCTGACGAGTGCCAACAAGCACGAATCCAAGATTCAAGGCCTCCTGACGCTTTCATCCAACTTTATGATAATACAGATGATTGTATGAGATGCGTATGAGGAAAATCCTAGGGCAAATGCTCACCAAATAGCATAAATTTGGAAGATATGATGACAGATTTATCACCTTTAGATGCGATCACTGTGACATCTGGATTGAGTTCGTACTCTTCATCATCGTTGGTTCTTTTTCCATGAGGTTTACAGAGGTCATTCTTATTTCAACGAACTTAGATGACTGTAGGTTGTAGATGATCTTTCTTCAAATACCTTACTTCAGGTCATTCACACTGATGACAGCAAATGGGGTTAGCGAATCCTCACCCTTATTCATGATTAGCTTAAGATGTCGGAGTCGGGAATTCAAATATACTAATGGTGCTATCACATGAATTTCGTGACATCTGACTTTCGAAGCAAAAAAGACACTTTTCAAGAATCATTCTGACCATCAACAATTTAATTAGCAACTGTCTTTAAAGCATCTGAACCATAGTGGAGTTTAGTAATCCTATTACCAGTTCCATTCACTGAATAAGTTGTTAAAGCTAGAGTAGCACTAGATTCTCCTACATGGGAATTTCTATTTGTTGCAGAAGGAATCCATCTATCATCGATGTGTAAGAGTTAGACTTGACTTAAGTTAGACCTAAATTAGCAACTGTTACAAAAACTTCTCCGCTTTATCACCTTAGTTGTACTCTGCCTAATGTGCAAATACTAACGAACGGAATCAAGGTAAAAAGACTTGAGATGACAAGTGTGACTGGAACAGAGTTATATTTACACAAAAGCGATATGAGATTTGATAAAAAATGAGAGGTTATACACTTATCTGCAGTCGTGACGGTGGTAAGCTCGGAGAGTGTGCTGGATGGAAGTACAACGAGGGAGCGAACCAAAACCGTACAGGAGTTTCACGAATCGAAAGAGGAAGTGGTGCTAAATGTCAGGTGAGTCCGTTCAAACAAAAGTTCGAAGGTTCAGTGTACACTGCAGATGAATCCAACTAGCATTACTGTAACCACTGCTACATTTCATTAATTTGTGATTTGTTAGAGAGCCACGCAGACGTGTATGTTCAAGACAATCACAGGTATCATTTATTTACTGCAATTGTGGCACAACTACTGGCTGGCTTCCTCAGACGCTAGTTAACTAAGAATATTCTCCGAGATGGCGTAGGAAGTGCTAGTATTTAGGGGAAGTATAATACTACTAATAATAGCTTTATGCCGAAAAAAATGAGTTTTATACAAAAGACAGAATTTTTAGGAAGTTTCTTATTGCAAAGTATCTTCAAGTAATACAAAAAAAACTTTCAGTAGTTGGTTTGTAAGGATTAGATATGTTTTTACGAGTTGACCACGGATTGATATCAGTTAGAGAACTATTGAAAACCAGAACTGGAGTACTGGATAGTCAACTGTTTCACCCTGGTTTGGGAATCATCAGTAGTACTCACTCACTGCCATGGTTCGAACCCAGAATCTCCTGGTTACAAGGCAAGCTCGTATACCATTCAGTTACTGGGACTCGGTTCAGTGGCCACTCCATGAATTCTAACTTCTACTAACTCGTGATTTACCGCGACTGGTACCAACCAATGTCATCGATGGGGTATCCATCCTCACAAGTGACTGGATGAGCCTCACTGGACTCGACTTCTCAGTGGAACTCCAGGAAACTCCGTCCTGTGATCAGTCACTAGCGAGCATCAGATTAATTTTCTATAGATGATTTGTAAGGATTAAATCTAATAACTCGTAAAAAGAAATCTAATATGGTGACTTGCTACAGGACGGAGTTTCCTGGAGTTTCACTGAGAAGTCGTGACCAGTGAGGCCCATTCAGTCAAGTGTGTAGATGGATGTCCAATCGCTGACATTGTTTGGTGCCAGTCTAGCTAAATCACGAATTGCTAGAAGTTAGAATTCACTGGCTTGCCATTGAAGAGTCGGGTCCCAGTGGCTGAATGGTATACGAGCTTGCCTTATAACCGAGATGTCCTGGGTTCGAATCCTGGTGGTGGATGCGTACTGCCGATGATTCTCAAGCTAGGCTGTCAAAACAGCTGTCTAGTAATCCAGTGCTGGTTCTCAATGGTTCTCCAACTGATATCAATCCGTGATCAAATCGTAAAAATATAATAAACGACAATGTGTCAACTGAAGTAATATCGTTATATCTGAGGTAGGCCCCAATAATCCATGACTTTTCTCCCTCACTTTCAACACAGAGCTCATATTAATAGCTGGAAGTCTATATATGTAAATATGCCTGAGTATACAGTGAAATTCATGGACATGATTGTTTGATTAAGACAGAATTATGTTTTGTAAATAATGACTTATTATTACGATTATTATTAGGAAATAATAATAATAATGGTAACAGTAATGTAGGCAATAACACAAATATAATGATAACATTGAAAAAAGGAGCATTAGGAGTCAGCTGGGCAAATGTGACGTAAGGAGAAATTATTAAAATTATTATTTTCTTTCTTAGAATATTATCAGATGTTAATGTTTAATTAACCATGTGATGGTAACAGTAAGATGGCGAGCCTAACTGACTAAATAACCAGCTAACTAACTTACCTCTGGCTATATAAAACGTAATTGAATAAGACTTGTGAAATGCGTAGAAGGCGCGCTACTTGTCTACTGACTAGTTGAGACAAATAAACATTTGACTGAGACAAATAAACGTAGGAAATGCAACATCACAAAACGGATATCTATCTAGGCAATTTTATATTTTGTTTTCGTTTTGTTTTGTCGAAACTTTCGCATACACATTTCCGTTGTCACATTTAGCTCAGTAAAACGTCAACATGCCTCTGTTATTTTTTGTGTTTTCTTATCATTTCATATCAAAAGAACTCTCACGTTGCATGGCATGCGTAAATAACTTCTTGCATACATATGTATGTGTAAATATCTTATCACCATGGTGACAGTTTGATAACCGCCTATTTGTATTACTTTTAGGAGTTTTT